GAAGGAAGGAAGGAAGGAAGGAAGGAAGGAAGGAAGGAAGGAAGGAAAAGACGGAAAGAAGGAAAGAAGGAAAGAAGGAAAGAAGGAAAGAAGGAAAGAAAGGGGAAGTATATCCAAAGGACTAATGGGACACAATCAAGCAGAACAAAATATGTATTATGAAAGTCACAAAGAAGAATGTGGGTGTTGGAAGGTTTGAAGAAATGCCAAGAAATCCCCAAACATTAGAAAAAATAACATAAAATTAAAAATTTCACTGAACTCCAACCAGGATAAATCCCTAACACCTATCTAAACAGATATTTATCATGAGCCAACTGTCAAAGACACACGAAAAAAGAAAAAAAAGAAAGATCGTATCTCCAAGGCTGAAGAGAAAGGCAACCTGTCATATACAAGTGTATTCCTTTTTTTTTTTTTTTTTAATGTGCACACAGAAGAGAGACAGAGCATGAGCAGGGAAGGGGCAGAGAGAGGGAAACACGGAATCTGAAGCACATCCAGACTCCAAACTGTCATCACAGAGCCCAACGTGAGGCTCGCATTCAAGAATCACGAAATCATGACCTGAGCTGAATTTGGATTCTCAATGAACTGAGTCACCCAGGCGCCCCACAGGTGTACTACTGTTAAAGTATTCATAGAATGTTCAACAGAGACCATGTAGTTTAGAGGGTGTGAGATGATACATTATGGTGTTGAAAGAAAAATGCTAACAACTAAGAACTTTATCTCTGGCAAAATAATTCTCTGAAATTCAGGAGAAGTTAATACACTTCCAGATAAAAAGCTGACATCATTCACCGCCTGACATGAACTACAAAATGATGATGGCAGTTCTTCAAATTTCTTCCAGGTTAAGTTAAACTTACAGAATATTATAACGTAAGGGTAAACCACGTTAGTCTAATACAGAACTTTAAAAAACAAAAGCATAACGCAATTAAAAATTTAGATTAATGGATCTGTATTTATAATTTTTTTTTTATTTATTTTTGAGAGAGACAGAGAAAGTAAGTGGGGGAAGTGCAGAGAGAGAGAGGGAAAGAGACAGAATCCCAAGGAGGCTCCATACTGTCAGCATAGAGCCAGATGTGGGACTCAAAATCATGAACCATGAGGCTATGACTTGAGCCAAAATCAACAGTTGGATGCTTAACTGATGGAGCCACCCAGGTGACTCTAATGGATCCATGTAAAATACACAGTGAATACAGAAGTAATAAAAAGTATATAAGTCAGAAACGTGAAAGAGTATATTTTACGTGTGTTTGAAGGTAAACTTGTATCAGTTAAAATAAACTAATTTTAAGATTTTTCATATAATGGCAACGGTAACCAAAAAGGCAACCTCTAAAGAATATGAAAAAGAAATGAGAAGGGAATGAAATCACGTAACTACAAAAATATACGTGAAACATGAGGGAAGGCAAAAAAAAGGTGCGAAAGGACAACAAGCTGCAAGACAGAAAATCATTAAGAAAACAGCAATAGCCATTTTATACCTGTAATTAATTAAATGTATATTATTTAATTTCCCTAAATAAAAGTCTCCAACTACATATTACCCATAAGAAACTCATGTTTTACCTTAGGACACACACAAGCTAAAATAAAAGGATACAACACATGTTACATGCAAACATGTACTAGAAACTAGCAGGGACACTACTACTACTGTCAGACAAAACAGACTACAAGCCAAAAACTGTAAATGAAAGACAATGTCATTAAAATGACAAATTTAATATTATATTTTAGTACAAATACACACACACACGTGTATATATATATACACACACATATATATTTAGTACAAGTTTAAATATATAGCTGACATTGGGGCATCTCAGTGGCTCAGGTGGTTAAGTGCCAGACTTCACCTCAGGTCATGATCTCAGGGTTCATGGGTTTAAGCCCCTCATCATGGTTGTGCTGATAGCTCAGAGCCTGGAGCTTGCTTCTGATTCTGTGTCTCCCTCTCTCTCTGCCCATCCCCACTCACGCTCTCTTTCTCTCTCTCTCTCTCTCTCTCTCTCTCTCTCTCTCTCTCTCTCTCAAAAATAAACACTACAAAAATTTATATGGCTGAACTAAATGTTTTAAGATGTCTAAAGATGTCTAAAATGATTGTTCTATTATAGGTTAAATTTTAACGTGGTTTACACATGTTAAAATTAAATTGTTATATGATTAATTTCACACCGAAAAACCAACATAAGGACAAATACACAGCAAAACCAATATAAGGACAAATAAATGGCTTTAATACTTAATTTCAAATAGAGTTTAAATCATCCAGATGTATAATTCACAGTGCGAGTTTACACTTAAACAGTTACGGATATATGTTGCTTTTTATGAAACTTATTCTTTATTAAACTAATGCATACTACATGTCATCAATATACACTGAAATGAAGGACAGACAGTATACGAAACATTACGAAATTTTCCAGGGAGTTTTAGATCATTACGTATAGTTTAATAGCAACATTAAAAATACATGTCATTCAGATAACGGCATACGTTAACTGAGAATGCTGATGAAAATTTAATTCTGCATTTGTATTTTAATGCACCGCTTTTATTCATGTGTCAGTGGAATATTTGAATCAATTAACACGACTATGAGTCAACTACTATAAGTAGAAATAGTAAGGCCAGAAGTTCATGCAATATACTTGTACTCGTTTGGATTTTCTTTATCTCTTTCCATGTAGTCTCTGTCAATTAAAGATTCTACTCTCGTCTTCAGATCAGAAGGCTACAAAATAAATTATTAATGTTAACAAAAATGAAATCACAGCATTTTATTTTCTACTCTCACCCCAAATACATCACATTTTGTATCTCATATTTTCATTATGTGTAATTTTCAGGAAACAATAAATTTCTTAACTAAAATATTACTATAATCAAATCTGAAATACATTAGAAAGGTGCTAACTAGGAATAAAGTACAACTAATACATAAAGAATAGAATAAAATGCATCTGGGATGCATCTTGGTAAAAAAAATCATACTTTCAATTTCTTCAATAAAAAGAAGTTATACTCATGAACTATGCCACATAAGGAAGGCTCTAAAATATAGAAGACAGCCAATACCTTAGGCACTGATGTTTCTATTATGCACATGGTTAGTTATGGTGTACGGATTGAACTCACTAGAAATCACATTAAAGAAAGTAATTCTATAATTTACTAAATAATAAGCACCCCAGTTGAGCCATGTGTAGAGCACTGCAGAGAACTCGAAGAGTTTTTTTTTTTTTTTCCTCAAGGGAAAAAACAGCTTTTAAATTTAAAAAATCAAGAGTACAACATTGATAAAGTAGCAGCTACAGCTAATAATTCCTTAGCACTTACTATATGCTTCAGGAAACTCTTTTGTCTTAGTAACATTTGAGTAAGTCGTTAATATTATCACCCTCCGTGAGGAAGTGGAGATACACACGTTATGTAAAGTTGACAAGAGTCAGAAAATGAGAAAGACAGGAGACGAAGCAGGATTGAAAAAAATCACAGCTGACAGCCTTTGTGAACCAAGCCATAAACATTAGACTAGAAATCGAAGTGTTTGTAGCAATTCTATTTTGATTACTTAGGGTACACAAAACTACAATTTTCATTTTATTTTATGATGACATACGAACCAATAGCTTGACATTTTATTTTTTAATTTTTTTTATATATGAAATTTATTGTCAAATTGGTTTCCATACAACACCCAGTGCTCATCCCAAAAGGTGCCCTCCTCAATACCCATCACCCACCCTCTCCTCCCTCCCAATAGCTTGACATTTTTAATAATTATGGCAGAAAAAATTTATTAGAATGTCTAACCTATAAGAATCAGACAAAATAGCTACATATTGTCTTTAAAAAGACTTTTTGAAAATGGTTAAGTAAGCGGTAATTTGCCACATATTGTTAATAATTTGTTAGGTTGTAGTATGTAATAATGTCACAAAGATCAACCGTTATAAGATGTAAAAACAGAGAAAGGACTATCATAGTAAGACCAAAGGCCACTCTGCTAGGAATTCTGAAGTATTTGCTGATAAGCAGTGCAAATAAAGGCAACTTCTAACTGTATTTCATCAAGAAGATACATCAAGGAAGTGAATCTAAACCATGGAGGTACAGTGAAAATACTTAAAATAGATCATGAGACTAATTTCTTTTTCTATTTTTTTTTGTGTTACCTTTCAAAATGTTACAACTTTTTACTTATAAAATTGATAAAATTTAATAACCTAATACAGTAAACCATAACACAAAAAGGGACCTAAGTCCTGTGATAATCACACTCACAATTTTTACTCCATATCACAGATACATTTTTACTTGAAATTACGTTATAAACCTATGGTTTTATTCAAAAGTACTCAACGCCACTGGATTTTTGGTAGATGTGTTTACCTGTAGTGTAAATTTTAGCTGCTTATACAATTGAGAGAAGTACACTGTGGGTCAGTGTTTTCCTTATCTTCATAATGCGAACAATTGCAGCATCAATCTGATACTGTCGATCTTGGAAAACTCTCTGTGTGGTGATGGTACGTTCCTCTATCTAATGAAAATAATTAAAAGATAAAATGACAATACGTAAAATTTCAATAATAATTAAACTGTTATGAAAATTAAAGGTTTCAGAAGATGACTTTTTGTAAAAACAGAACAGTAACAGAAACGATACATAATTCACTTTTGCTTCTATTGGAAACCTTGTATATACTAAACTTTTTGGATTTAAGTTTGTATTAAGTCATCCTCAATTTTAGAGTCCTTTTAGCCAGAAAAGCTATTAACAGGAAAGCATTGTGCTATGGTTTGAGCAGTTCTTTTAAACAAGTTAGTTGTATAAGTATATTCTATAAAAAAAAAAAAAAAATTTTTTTTGAACTTCTAACTGCAAATCTTTTTCATTCATATCCTAAACCTTCAACAGTGATCCTCCAAATCATCTGAGTTTCCAGGAGTATATAATCTTTTGAATTGCCTTCTGGGTTCCAAATTCCAAATAAAGCCTTCCAAATTCTCAAAGCAAGAGTTGCTTACTTTTAATTTGTCAGTATTTTCTTTGTTTTTACTACTTCGTTTTCTGTGTGTGCTTCATCATTACATTTTCTTAAATGCTCATTTCATACTTCTCATTTCTAAGATTGATCTCAACTCCTGTTTTACCAGTAAAGCTTTAAATACACTATGTCTAATAAAACTATCTTAGTTTATCTTCTACCATTCATACATACATTTTTTATTGAAGTGGAATCACAAAATACAAAACTAACAATTTTAAAATGGTTTATGGGGCGCCTGGGTGGCGCAGTCGTTAAGCGTCCGACTTCAGCCAGGTCACGATCTCGCGGTCCGTGAGTTCGAGCCCCGCGTCGGGCTCTGGGCTGATGGCTCAGAGCCTGGAGCCTGTTTCCGATTCTGTGTCTCCCTCTCTCTCTGCCCCTCCCCCGTTCATGCTCTGTCTCTCTCTGTCCCAAAAATAAATAAACGTTGAAAAAAAAAAGTTAAAATGGTTTAGAAATTTTAAATATACACTTGGAAGCATTTAAGCATACTCAAAATGTTGTGCAACCACTATTTCTCTCTCGTTTCAAAACATTTTTGCCACTCAAGAAAACACCCTGTGCACATTAAGTAATCATTCATCATTTCCCATTCACTCGTGATGTGGTTACCACTACTCTTCTTAAGTATGGATTTTATGACTTTTCAAATATAATATGGAAAGAACTATACTATAACTGACCTGTTATGTCTGCCTTCTGTCACTTAGCATAAGGTTTTATACACAAAATACTTGTATACACATAAATAATGCTTTTTATACATAATGAAGGGTAATTCTTACTGAAGGATGTATTGGTACTTTGTTTCTTTTATATATAGGAGTAATATTTCATTGTATGAGTACAATACAATTTACTTATCCATTTATCCAATGATGGACATCTGGGTTATTTCCATTTTGGCTACTGTAAATAATTCTGCAAGAAATTCTTGTGGCAAGCTTCAGTGGACATATATTATTTTCTCTTTAATGGTTAATGAGAATAGCTGAGTCAAATGGTCACTCTGAGTTTAACTGAGAAATCTCAAACTATTTTGCACAGGTGCTGCAATACTACATATTCACACCAGAAACGCACAGGATTCATATTTCTTTTAAAAACCTCTTTGTATCTGATTTGTCGATTCAAGCCATCTGGGAGTAATGTGGAATCTCACTGTAATTCTGACTCAGGTACATTTGAAGACCAATGATGATGAGCATTCTCTCATGTGTTTGTGGACCATCTGAATAACTTCTCTCAAGAAATATCTATTCAAGTTCCTTTTTTTTAACGTTTATTTATTTTTGAGACAGAGAGAGACAGAGCATGAACAGGGGAGGGGCAGAGAGAGAGGGAGACACAGAATGTGAAACAGGCTCCAGGCTATGAGCTGTCAGCACAGAGCCCGCAGGGCTCGAACTCACGGACCGTGAGATCATGACCTGAACCGAAGTCGGACGCTTAACTGACTGAGCCACCCAGGCGCCCCATCAAGTTCTTTGTTATCGAGATTACTTTTTATTTTTTATATTTCTTATTTTTTTTTATATTGTTAAGAGTCTGTGAATTGGAACATATATGCAGTTATATACATACACATACATATGCATATATAATGTGTAGATAGATAGATAGATAGATAGATAGATAGATAGATAGATAGATAGATATAAATACATAGATACATAAATGTAAGTACATACACACATATAGATGCATACACACATATATATTCAACTGTAAGTAAAAAAACTTACAAGAGACCAAAGGATATTTACATTGATGAAATGGTCCATTCATCAGGAAAATAAAATAATCCTAAACATATAGATACCAAACTAAAGGGCCACAAAATAAAATGAAACAAATGCTGACAGAATTTACGTGAGAAAATATTTGAAAATAATTATTCGAGACTTAATACCACACTTTCAATAATACACAGAACATTAGATAAAAGATTAATACAGACATGGGAGATGTAAACAACACTATAAGCAAATAGATTAGTAGGCATATACAAAACACCCTAAGCAACAAAATAACCCAAATGTCCATCAGTGGATTGCTGTAATATTACTCATGTATAAAAAAGGGAACAAAGTTGAGGCCACCTGGGTGGCTCAGTTGGTTAGCCACTTGACACTTGATTTCAGTTCAGGTCATGATCTTGCCTTTCACCCTGAGACTGACATTTGCTTTTGGTTCCATGCTGGA